CCGATCATTTGAAAAAGCTGATTCCAGTTATCAAGATGCTTGCAAACTGGTTGGCATGCTATACGCAATGTGGCTTGTCGCCGCTACCATCGAGAACGGGTGCATCCACTTCAGTCCCCAATGCAGCACGTGGATCACAATGACCCGTCAGAGTACTTTGAGGAGCCGCCAGGACGTCTTCGGCAACAATGGCAGAGCGGACGTGATGGAGGCGAACCACGTTGCATCGTTTGTGTCGGGCAGGGAGGGGGGCAGAGCGTTTTTCTGATGATGATGATGATGATGATGATGATGATGAGGAGGAGGATGAGGAGGAGGAGGAAGAGGAGGAGGATGAGGAGGATAGGAGAGCGACGTGCGAAGGAAACGACGCAGGGAGCCGGCAGGGCGGAACACAAACAGCGGGCGTTGAGGAAAGAGGCCAGTGATACAGAACGTTCGAAGGGAAGGGGGTGGCGCGGGAGGGGGGAGGGGCAAGGAAGGAGGAAGTCGAAGGGCCAGAGGGTGAAAGGATGATGGGCGCAGAAGTCGGTCACACCATTTCCTTGGGCATGCGCATGTCGCAGACTCGTTAGATAGGGGAGGCGATCGACCGAGGACGCCTCGAACAAAATCAGATGTAGGCATAAAAATCCGACGGCGCCTCGTGGGCGTCCAGAGGCGATCGAACGACATAGCACGGATTCACGACGATCCCCGTCGTCCTTGTGAACGTCCGTCCCCGTCAGTCGTCCGTTCCATCATCCCGTCGTCACCGATCGTCATTTCTCAGTCGTCCTCGATCGTCGTCTTCTTTGATTTCGCAGCGTCTGGATATGTTCGGGCAGGGGAGGTCTTACCTGATGGGGTTCGCAGACATTCGGAACGTTTGCTTCATGACCGAACAGCCCATCAACTCGCTGCTGTACAAACATGCGTCTGTGGAGATGGCCACCAGGCTCACAAGGGCAAAGCGTTTCGTGACGAACCTGCGAGCATTCGGCGCAAGGACCATGAAACCAATAGAGTGTTTCACTACACTCCCATTCGAGAGGTGCTGTGAGCTGTTGCAACGAAACCAGAGACAAGCTAAGGCTACGATGGGTGGAGCGGGCGATCGACTTTGCGTTGAGTCAGCTCGTTGCATGCGTGAACTTAAACGCAAACACTCTGAAGAGTCCGAGGGCTCCAAAAATGGATGGGGCTCATCTCAGGGAACTTGGGTGAACGGAGCTAAACGTGATTTGCAAAGCTCTGCTGAATACCCGAAGGATTTTTGTCTCAGGTATGCTCAACTTGTTTGCGACACCCTGGGCGTAGACGCTCGCTTTGATGAGGGGTGAACCAATGTCTGACTAGAGTCGCCCACTCTCGACTTATCTGATCTGGAGCCTGTGGCGTTTTTTGCGTGCTATTTGGTATTTTGTTGGTTTCGTGCGTGGGTTAGCCACGCATGGCGCGACGCCTGTTCGGCGATCTCGGATGCTCGTGCTGTGGGGCAATAAATAAGTTCGACATCACCCCCCCCAAACGCAGTATAGTCATCACCCTTTGCCATGCACATGCAATTACAACGCAAATCAAACTCATTGCAGCAGCAACTCCAACTCAATTCCAACGCAAACCCAACGCAATCACAATGTAATTCCAATGCAATTCCAATGGTAGACTGAGTGTGAGAGCAACGTTGTTCAGGTTGGTTTCCAACTTTCGGTGCAGAGGCACCTTCTCTCGCCACGGCTGATTTCGCTTCGGAAATTCTGGCCAGATGCACCCCTTGCAGACTCATATGAGCTGCATAGTTCGTTTGCTTCGCCACAGCGAATGCGTTTATTGAGAATGCTCGGCAGGAGCAGGCGATTGGGGACATGGAGGGGATATAGAGTGAACGAGGGGATGTAACATAGGGCGAGCGTGTGGGGGAAGAATGTAGCAAACGGTGAACGTTACTCGAACATGGGGGAATTGGGTGGAGAGAAGATGCTCAGCTGAAGATACCCCAAACGTTTATCTGCTCGAACCTGAAGGCAGCGGGGCGGCCGCCACCGTCCGGTAACAGCCCCTTTGAAGGGGCCTCGGCCGATGGCGAGTCCTGCCAGGGGCGCTGAGGCGCTGCCCCGCGACGACAGCGAGCTCGCGGCTGCAGGCGGCCAATTCCCGACTCACCCCCAACATCTTTTGAGTTCCCCCCCCCCCCTCTGTGCGCTGACAGGCGGCGCCGCGACGCAGCGCGGCAGCAGGAGGCGGCGCTGCGACGCTGAGGTGCAGCCAGGGAGCCAGAGGTGGAGGAGGAGGAGGAGATCTCCGAGCAGCAGGTCGCGCCAGCAGGAGAGGAGGACGAGGCGGAGGAGCCGTTCCAGCCGTCGGAGGCGCGAGAAGAGGAAGAGGGGCACCAGGCCGAGGAGGCGGCGCAGTCGGCGGTCGCGGAGGCGGCGTAGTCGCCAGGCTGAGGAGGTCGAGGAGCGCATGCTGAGCGCAGAAACTAAGAAGAATCTGCCGATGGCGATGGCGTTGGTCCAGGAAGCCAAGAGAACACGCACGCGCGCGCAGCTCTTCGAGAAGGTCGCCCAGATCATGCATAAAGATCAGAAGGCACCAGCCCCGATCAGCTCGCCCAAAGAAACCACAGCTCCCGCACGACAAGCAGCGAAAGAAGATCACGTGGAGAAGCCGAGCAAGCCCGAGATAGAAGCTGCTTTTCGGGGAGACCCAGCTGCAACCGACAAGCTCATTCGAGCTGGCTGGAAGTTGTCACAGGTGATAAGTTCGACAGGGGTGGTGAAGCGGTCTTGGTCAGCACCGCCTTACCAGGTTCGCAATCGACCGACTGTGATTCGGAGCCCGAGCTGCACGCGTCGGCCGAGCTTGTCGCCAGAGAAGGTCTTCAACGACGACGAGGGTTCGCTGACCGCCTTGGAGACGCCGTGCGGTTCGACGGCATCCGAAGGGCCACCAGCGACAAGCCCCCCTACGCCTACGCCGCCGTCGCCGACCCGCCCTGCGGATGGGCAGACCGACTCCGAGGAGGCAGAGGACGACTCCTCGGGGGAGCCAGGGCAGACGCTGCTGGACAGGATGCTGGAGGAGGAGGAGCCGCGCAGAGGAGCAGCGCAGAGGGGCCAGGAGGAGCAGCGCAGGCTGGCCAGAGGAGCAGCGCAGAGGAGCCAGGAGGAGACAGAGGACCAGCGCAGGCTGGCCAGGGCTCAACCAACCCCGACCGACCCCCCGACAGACGAAAGGGGAGAGGGAGGAGGGAATGAATACACAGGAGGAGGAGGAGGAGGAGGAGGAGGAGGAGGACCGAGGAGGCAGAGGAGGAGAAACAGCGAAACGGAGGGGCGAACGAAAACTTTCAAACCAACACATGTTCCGACCGATTCCTTATCATCTTCTTCCTCCTCTTGTTCCTCTCCCTCCTCCTCCTCCTCCTCCTCCTCCTCCCGTCGCTTATCCCTTCTCCTCGATCCGACTGGCAACTATTATCATTATTATCCTCTTACTCCCCCTCCTCCTCCCCCCTCCCCCTCCCTCTCATGCTCTTTGTTTCTTCATCCTCTTGCTCTCGTATTGCTCCTCGTCTTGTTCGAAATCTCACGGTTTCCTTGCCGTCTACTCCTCTCCTCCTCCTCCTCCACCTCCTCTTCCTCGGGGTACGCGCGGAACAACTCAAAGACCACCCCTCTCCCCCGACCTCCCCGCGAGGCTGGCCATGAGGCGCGTGCTGGACAAGTGCGTGCGCCGAGCCGCGCTGCACCGCAGCGAGGTCCTCACGAGCGACCTCTGACGTGGCGGGCGGGCGGATCGGCGCCAGCCGCCGCGGATGCGCTCGGCCACGGATGCGCTGCGCCACGCTCGCGACGCAGCGCCCCCCTTTGCCGCCGTCCCTCCGAGGAGATTTGAGGAGTAGCGGTGGCGACGAGGACGATGGAGGAGGAGGAGGAGGAGGAGGAGGAGGAGGAGGAGGAGGCTGACCAGGCAACATTGGGCCGAGCGGGGATCGAGGAAAGTAAAAAAAACAGGAGATTTGAGGAGTAGTGGTGGCGACGAGGATGATGGAGGAGGAGGAGGAGGAGGAGGAGGCTGACCAGGAAACATTGGGCCGAGCGGGGGATCGAATTCGTTCTAACAAGGATAACATGTTACCCTTGTTAGAACGAATTCGCGTTGGCGCGGATCACCCTCGGTTGGGGCCAAAACACACGAACCAACAACAGCTTCATAGATACATAAAACAATCACGAGAGGTGCAACTGTCCCTGAGTGTTTTTTTTGCTTTCCTCCATCCCCCGCTCGGCCCAATGTTTCCTGGTCAGCCTCCTCTTCCTCCTCCTCCTCATCCTCCTCCTACGCGGCATAGATTGAAACGCGCGCTGCGGGGCGCGATCTGTCTGAGGAGCGCGCCGACATGATGTCACACGGCTGATGCCATCAAAATCATCAGCCACACGCGTGCTAACACTTATACCTGCAACATAAACATGCCATTCGACATATTTTTATCACATGGCAAAGAACTTGGAAATCCGATTTCAAATCAAACTGTATCTAGTAAGTAAAATGAAGTGCGAAATTTTGCCCTGATAATCTCAAGGATCTGGACCAGAGGGGCGTCACCTTTCGAGCCGGATCGATCGGTGAGGGCCCTGGGGCCCGAACAGTGGAGCGAAAGCGCCCGGCTCGAAAACAGGGAGTCGCCAGCCCAGACCCCAGACGTCATGTTTTGTTCATCACGTCGACCTCCAGAGGCCTGGACCCCTTCCCCGAGACTGGCTCTTCCTCCTGAGTCGCTTTTTGACGGTCCCGAGGCCCAGCAGGGGCCCCCAGAGGCCGAAAACCACGAAAAGCCTCCCGCCGCGATGTCCGCCCCAGCGCGAGGAGGCCGAGGAGGAGGGAGGAGGAGGGAGGAGGAGGGAGGAGGAGGAGGAGGAGGAGGAGGAGGAGGGAGGAGGAGGGAGGGGGAGGAGGGGGAGGGAGGAGGGAGGAGGGGGGAGGATCTCGGGGCAGCACGCCCCCCCTCCGAGGCGGGCCACGACGGCGCCAGAGACCACCGGGCGCTGGCAGCGGCCTGCTCGCGCCAGGCGTCCGGGCCCGACCGCCGCGGCGTGCGCTCGCCCGGCGCCCGGGCGCGCGCCTGCTGAGCGTCTCGGGGGGCCGGGCGCGGCCGCAGCCGCGCGGCGAGGGCGGGGGCCACCCGCGGGGCCGAGTTTCCACCGCCTCCCACCAGAGGTGGGCCAGGGGGGAGGAGGGAGGGGGGGGGGAGGTCCTCCTCCTCCCCCTCCTCCTCCCCCTCCTCCCCTCCTCCTCCTCCTCCTCCTCCTCCTCCTCCTCCTCCTCCGCCTCCGCCTCCTCGTCTGCGGTCGTCTCTTCCTCCTCCTCCCCCTCCTCCTCCTTCTCCTCCTCCTCCTCCTCCTCCTCCTCCTCCTCCGCCTCCTCCTCCCTCTCCTACCTATGGTAGCGGTGGTGGAAAATCGGGCAATCACCACCTTCCTGCTGCGGAGCGGCTCCGCGGGCGAGGGCCCACGGGAGCGGCGTAGAGCAGCAGAGGCATCGGGACGATCGGATCGGCGTAACCCCAACCTACGAATACTATGTGTGCGTCGCCCCCCCCCCAAAGTGGCGACGCACGCACCAAGAAATCTTATAGTATGTGCGTCGTGGCGGGCGCTTTCTGGCCACACCGCCTGGGAAACGATACGCTAGAACATGGGTGTACTATATGTTCGGGTCGGACGCGCGCCTCCAAGGAGGACATGTAGTACTCGTATTTCTCTGTGCGTCCCATCGAAAGGAGTACGGGAAGAGTGGGTATAGACCCTAAGATCTTGGCGACTCCATTTTTTCGAGCTGGGCGTTTTCGCTCCACTCGTCGGGCCCCGGGACCCTCACAGATCGATGTGGCTCGAAGAATGACGCAGGAAGATGGGGCACAGGAGTCTGGTCGTTTTCTTTGTATCTTTCCAGCGTCAGATTTCAGGGGCTCCTGATCATGTTCGATAAGACTCGCTGTCCGCGTCGCCGCGGACTGTCTCCATCTGAAACAGAAGGCCGCCTGCCCAGCAGCGGCCGCTGTTGGTTTGAGAAAACATGAGTTGTTGGGCATTGTGCCCATTTCTCCGTACCCATGTCGGGCGTCCAAGAGGAAGAAAAGAGGCCGAGGCCGCTGCTCATCCTGGAGAGCTTTCGTCGGCACGGCCGCGATGTTCCTCGAAATTCTTCAAGCTTCGCGTATGCCCACCAGTTGGAATTCCCAGGCACTTTGCCACAGGTCTGCATGATGCTTGAGCTTCCCTGGGCGTTGCAGTTCTGCCAGTCAGCCCCACGCCGCCGCTGCCTGCAGCTGCTGCCTCTGAGGGCTGGCCCGGCCGGCTTGCGCTGCGCCTAGTAGTCTAGGCCTCCCATATGGGGTCCGAGTAGATGGGGTCGGAGGATCGCGCCGCATCGCCGATGCATCGGCGATGCGGCTCGATGTGAAGCCCGATTTCCTCCACGACGACGTCGCCGATGCATCGTTGACGTCGCCAGTGCATGGCTGATGCATCGCCGATGCATCGGCGACGCATCGCCGATGTAACGGCGATGCGGTGAGATCCACCGACCCCGTTTACTCGGACCCTATCTAGGAGGCCTCTAAGTAGCTAGTTCGGTTCGCCCGTTGCCCCGGACTCCCTTTCGCCGCCTGCCCTCTGCTGCGCGGCCGCGACCCAAAAAAAATGCCCACCAGCTCTGTCGCATCTGGGCATCGCGGTCACTTGGTTCTGACAGCTCGAGGCCATCGACGTTTGACGGCTGGCGGGGTATTGAGTACCCAATCGCCCACTCGCGGCAAGTACTCGATGCACAACGAGGCCATGGTGGTCACCTACCCGGTCCTTCGCCTATGAGCTGCGTCGCGTGCGTTTCTCTTTCTCGCTCCGTTCGTCGTTATCCGTCTTTTTCGCTTCTTCTTTCGTTCCGTGTTCTTCTCTTTTTGTTCGCTTCGTTTTTTTGCTTTCATCGTCGTCTTCGCCTCTCCTGCCTCGCCCGCGATGCCGCGGCGCGTCGCCTGCCTGTTTTCGTCACTTTAGCGCTGCCTCGGCGTAGTGGCCCCCGTTTTCCCGCGTCTGGCCGGCGACGGTTGCGCTGTGTCCATTGGCTTCTGCTCGTTGCACGCCCTTTCCGACGCCGCGCGGGCGCCCGCTTGCGGTCGTGATCAAAAATATGCCTGCCAGCTGCGCGCGTAATTTAGGCCGTTGCCCGTGCGCTACGTTCTTGGACGCCGCCCGACTTCTTTCGCCGCGGTCGCGATCGAAACCTATCCCCGCCAGCCCATGCATAACCCTGCCGATGATAGGCCGACGGGAAACGGGAGGAAGAGACACTTTAGTGAAAGATAGCGGGCAAACAAGGGTACACAAAGAGATCTCTGGGAGCAAAAAGGTGGCCCTACTTGGCTCCAACAAAAGTTTCCTTGGAAACTCGCAAGAGGAATCATATGTATGTAAACCCGTCGGCAAAATGAAAAGTCGCGCGCGCGTGCCCAGCGTTCGCACGCACGCGATCCCAAGACGCCCCATGGCCACAACATGCTTCCAGGAATGCCTCGGGCCACGGACGATAACGTCCAGAGGGCCCAGGATGATGCCACCCCAACGCGATCCCGCCATGGATTCTGGACCGTCTCGGGCCGACTCGCAGATGACGCAACACAGGAGCAACGCGTGACGCCGAGATGGCCCGATGGCAACAAGATGGGTCCAAGCGCACCCAGGGTGGCCTCATAATGACCACGCGATGGTTGCGTGATCCAAACATGACCGGGATACGATCTCAAGATGACCTCAAGACGACCCCAACACGGCAATAATACTGCAACTTATGAGCCCCATCTTACGTCGAGCCGATCCCAGCATGGTGGGATCCGTGAACAACCCGGGATTTTGGTCTACCCCATTTTTAATGGGTGGGATTTTGATCGTCCTGAACTAAACTTATAATATTAAAGCGGAATAAGCCAGGCGGGATCCCGCCCGGCCCACGGAGGAAGACAACATTGCTAGGTTTCTACGGGGGGTAGGGGGTTCGGAAGGGGCGTCGTTGAATTCCGCTGACATTGGCAAGCTTTCCAGCGGCCTTCCCCCGTCTTCCGCCTCGTTTTACTTCCGTCGACTTCCGCAGGCCAGCGTCGTGATGAAAATTCAAGGAACTTTCATTGGGCCGATGTAGGGGACGTCTTCGGGCCATATCTGGGATTTCTCCGGGCCATTTCCGGGGCCTCTTGGCGGTCCTGGGGCCTGTGTGGGGGCCTCTGTGGGTGCCTCGCAGGTGCTTGTTGGGGCATCCTGGGGTCTCCGTGGGGGCTGGAACGTTTTTTGAAAACCATCCATCGAGGCAAGAGGGTCTCTGAGTTGAGGTCCGTCGCTCCGGCCCAGCCCCCTGCAGGCCGCGGGGTGCAGCGCGAGCGTTGCCGGATCTTGCGGGATCTTGCCACAAGCCAGGTGTCGCCGCGCCGTTTGTTCCGACGCGCGGCCTTGCGTCTTGGAGAGGGCACCGCGGCCACCAGGGCAAACGCCGCCTCGGACGCAGTGGGTTTGCCGTGGGGTTTGCGGCGGCGCCGGCTTCGCCCTTTTGGGCGCGGGACGCAGGGTTCGCTGACGGTTTGCCGTGGTGTCCGCATCGTCCACTTGGGCGCGTCGAGAACTGACGGCGTGAAGACAGATTGGTTGAGCCAGAATTGGGAAGCCCCCCCAGCGATTGCGGCGCAGTTTTGTCTAAATTGGCGTATCTGGTTTTGCGCTGAGCCAGGGGAGTCCTCACGAGCTGGGGGGGTCGTCGTCGTCGTCGTTCGTCGTTCGTCGTCGTTCGTCGTCGTCGTCGTCGTCGTCGTCGTCGTTCGTCGTTCGTCGTTCGTCGTTCGTCGTCGTCGTCGTCGTCGTCGTCGTCGCTCGTCGTCGGTGGTCGTCGTTGGTCGTCGTTTTTCGTCGTTCGTCGTCGTTCGGCGTCGCCGTCGGTGGGTCGTCGTTGTGTTCGCTCGCTCGTCGTCGTCGTCAGTCGTTGCTGGGCGTCGGTGCTGGTCGTCGTTCATCGTCGTGTCTCGTCGTCGTTGTGTCAGTCGTTATTCGTCGGTCGGCGGCGTCGTTGTTGGGTGTCGTCATTTGGTGCACTTAGTTATTAATTGTCGATGTTCGTCGTGTCCATTAGGTGATGGTTTTTAGTTGTCGTCGTTGGCTATCGTATCTTCAAGACCATTAGATTGCATTCGCCGTAGTTCGTCGTCGTCCTCGACTGGTTGGTGGCAAGGCCTGGGGGTGTGCGCAGACAAACCCCAGAGGTTAACTAACGCCCAGCATGGCCTTAGCAGGAGGAGGCGGATCCATGTTTTGAGTGTTGTTGTGGTTTTCTCTAGTCTTCCGAGGCGTCACATCCGATATATTTTTCAATCCGTGGCCCCAGAGTTCCCGACCTCTTTCCCAGGAGTAGTTTTTCTGCCTGGGCCCAGTTTCGGGGTCAGACAACGAGCCCTGGAGGCTGAAGTTTTGGAAACACACCGCCATTATAACAAAAACACATCGCCGGAGGCCTGGGGAGGCTTGGGAAGGCCATCTGGGGAGACCTCCAGGGGCTTCGGACACGCCGCGAGGAGAAGCATCATGTCGTCGGAGGCCTGATGATGTTCGGGAAGGCCACCTGGGCAGACCTCTTAGGGGCCTCGGGAGGGCAACATTGGGAAGGCCCAGATTCAGGAAGCACGCCGCGATGAGAAAACGTCATGTCGTCGGAGGTCTGGGGAGGCTCGGGAAGGCCACCTGGGGAGACCTCCAGGGGCCTCGGGAGGGCAACACCGGGAAGGCCGAAAATTTGTAAGCACGCCGCGATGAGAAACCGTCATGTCGTCGGAGGTCTGGGGGGGCTCGGGAAGGCCGCTTGGGCAGGACCTCTTCGGGGCCTCGGGAGGGCAGCCTTGGGAGGACTTCCGCACCGCGGCGTCGGGGTGCGGAGCCACAGCGCTGTGGGGCGTGGCCGCTTGGACGACCGCACGAGCGGCTGCCCAAGGGCCGGGCCGGGCCCCGCCTGCCGAGGCCAGGCCTCTTCCACCGCACGTCCGAGGGGCCCTTCGCCGGGGCGTGGCCTTCGGGTGCGGGCGTGCGGGCCCACCGAGAGCCCCCCGGTCGTCGTGGAGCGCGCGACGCAGTAGCAGCGGCCTGCGCGCCCGGGTCGGGCCGCCTCGCGCCCCGCCCCTCGCCCGAGTCGCGCACCGAATGTCGCGGACGGCTGCCCGGGGCCACGCCTGCGTGCAGCCTGGGCTGCTCCTCAGGAGCACGCCAGGGGAAAAGGCAGGGCCAGCGTGGCCGCACGTCTTCCAGAAGCTGTCGGAAGTGCCGAGAGCTCGAGAGCTGCGATGGAGGCCGCCCCGGGTTTCGAGTCGGGGCCCGGGGCGGCCTCCATCAGCTGCGCCTCGCCGAGGGCGTTCCCGGGGGGTGCCGGGGTCGACCCGAAACGCCGCCGGGCCGCCGAGGTAGGATCCGAAGCCCAAGGAAACACCCTGCTTGCCTCCAGGGTGCCCTGGGTTTCTGGGGTTTCGATGGTTTTGGGATGGAAAGCGTGACGTTCCCACACCAAGAATCAATGGGCGCCCTGGGGTCTCAGGGTTGGGTTTCTTGTGGACGGTTTCTTGTGGACTGGCCTCCACTGAAGGCACATCAGAGAAGAGATCTGCCTGCCAGCAGGGGGCTACGGAAACGCATTCTCCCCCAATGGCATATGGCCCCAGGGACCCGCAGAAGTTCTGGGGGCCCCAGGATGCTGTACATCAAGATGTCTGATGGTATGCAGTCGGTGTCTCGGGGGCCGTCTGGGGGCTGCCCGCAGCATTTCCAGGTGTGGTGGTGAAAGGTTTGTCGGACGAGGGTCGCCTCGCGCTGAACGGCCGCTTTACGTTTGCCTTGCCGGCGGCGTGCGCGTAGCGAGGCCCGCTCATGCGGGGGCGCGATGCTCAAAACAATCATCAGTGATCGGAGGTGAGGGGGTGAGATCGAAGTGGAACGGGGAGCCCCCCTACCGGGAAATCGGTTTCGCTTTCGTGTTCGTGCGTGCAGTGCGTGCGGGCGAGGCGAAGTTGCGTGGGCGGGCGAGAAGTGTCCCGCCTCTGGCTGAGGCGCGGCCAGACCAAATGCTTCCTGTCCGGGGGCTGGTGGCGCGCGGTGTCCCGCCGGTGTCCCGCTGGTGTCCCGTCGGTGTCCCGATGATGATGATGATGATGATGATGATGATGATGATGATGATGATGATGATGATGATGATGATGATGATGATGATGATGACGATGACGATGACGATGACGATGACGATGTTGTTGAGATGATGATGATGATGGCAATGGTGGTCATGGTGATGGTGTCCCGATGATGATGATGTTGATGATGCTGATGATGAAGGTGATGATGACGGTGCCCCGATGATGATGATGATGATGATGCTGATGATCCTGATGATGCTGATGATGAGGTGATGAGATGATGATGAAGATGATGATGATGATGGTGTCCCGATGATGATGATGATTAGGTTGACGATGATGCTGCTGATGATAACGTCGGTGATGATGATTATGGTGTTGATGATGATGATTCATGATGACGGTGATGATGTCCCGATGATGACGATGATTTCGATGATGGGGATGATGGTGAGGGCATGATCATGACTTTGATAATGGTGGCCCGATGATGATGATTATGCTGAGGGTGATGATGATGGTGTCCCGATGATGATGATGGTGATGATGATGGGGACGATGATGATGGTGTCCCGATGCGGATGATGTGGATGATGATGAGGATGATGTTGATGATGATGATGGTGTCCCGATGGTGATGATGTGGATGCTGTTGTTCATGATGATGATGATGATATGATGGTGGTGATAATACTGATGATGGTGCTCCTCCGATGATGATGGTGGTGTCCCGATGATGATGATGGTGGTGACGATGGTGGTGTCCCGATGATGATGATGCTGGTGTCCCGATGATGAGGATGATGATGATGATGTTGATGATGATGATGCTGCTGATGATGATGATGGTGTCCCGATGATGATGATGGTGATGATGTTGGTTATCATGATGATGTTGATGATAATGAAGTGATGATGATGATGATGGAGATGTAGATGATGATAATGGCTTCCCGATGATGATGATGATGATGATGATGATGATGTGGTTGATGATGTTGTTGATGATGATGAGATGATGATGAAGGTGTCCCGATGGGGATGATGTTGATGATGATGACGATGATGATGGTGTCCCGATTGTGATGATGATGATGATGTTGATGATGGCGATGGTGATGAGGTGATGATTGTGATTTTGATGATGGTGGTCCGATGAAATTGATGCTGATGTTGACGGTGATGGTGATGATGGTGTCCCGATGATGATGATGATGATGGTGATGATGATGATGATGATGTTGGTGATGATGATGGTAAAGATGATGATGGTGTCCCGATGATGATGAGGTTGATGATGATGATGATGGTGCTGATGGTGGTGTCGTTGCCCCGATGATGCCGATGTCGATAATGCTGTTCATGATGATGATGTAATGATGATGATCATGATGATGATGATGATGATGATGATGATGATGCTGATGATGATGATGATGATGATGGTGGTGTTCCGATGGTGATGACGTTGTTCCGATGATGATGGTGTTGATGATGATGGTGACGATGATGGTGTCCCGATGATGATGATGATGGTTGTGATGCTGATGTTGATGATGATGGTGTTGAGTTGATGATGATGATGTCCCGATGATGAAGATGTCGATGACGTTGATGACGATCATGCTGATGATAATGACGATGGCGTTGATTGTGAGACCGATTGTGATATCGATAGTGAGATCGATAGTGAGACATAATGTGAGATAGATTGTGTGATCGATAGTGAGATCGATAGCGAGATCGATCGTCAGATCGATTGTGAGATCGATCGAATGAAATAGATCGAGTGAGATCGATTGTGAGATCGATCGAGTGAGACCGATCGAGCGAGACCGATAGTGAGATCGATAGTGAGACCGATCGAGTGAGACGTTGGTTCCTCCCCCCCCGAACCTCCTTATCACCCGAAGGGTGGTCGTATTGGTATTGTCGCTGGGCCACCCTTCGGACTACCAGGAGATGAGTGGGCTAGGCACCGCTTTCGGTGGTTGCGGGCCCTGCATACACACGGTGTTGATATCACATTTCAGTGTCCTCCGCGTTGTTGGAGACGCCTGCGTGGCGAAACGTTGGGCGAAACTCCAGCCAAATGTATTGGATTCTTCGCTTCCCCATCCGCTGCGGAAACCCTTGGAGGACACGTGGGGAGGTTTTCATCCCGTCGGGGCCGCATCGAGGGGCGTCTGGCTCTCGCATGCCTGCTGAAAGAAGAGGCAGCGGCAGCCTTTGCTTGCCGCCTCTCGTGCCCGAACGTGCTGCACACGCGCAGCAGCCCTTGCATTCTCAGGGAGCGCGTCGAGCACGGGCGGCGGGCCCGCTGCAGCCTCGGGAGGGGGCGACAGCGTGGCAGCGTGATGCGGGCACGCTGCACCTGGGCAGGAGATGGCTGTCACCGTGGACTTGTCGCGGCAGCGAGGGGGCAGTCCATCATAAATCTTGCGCGACGTGGTGGGAGCACCCGGAAGGTAACGTTGTTGGCATTTTACATCCGAGCCTGGGTCTAGTCGAGGGGTCCGTCCAACGGCTTAGACATCTAAGGCACATGGGCCCATCTTGCTCCAGCACCTCCCGACTCCAAAACTTTGGACCTGTGACCCGAGCTCAGACAGTCGCATCAGGAGGTGTCTTGGGCGGCTCCTTTGGAGCCCTCTTGGGGCTCTCTTGGGGCTCCCTGGGGGCCTCATGGGAAACCACCCTGACAAGTCGTTTCGCGACTCGCAGTGCTGCCTGGCCTCGAGGGAGCGTTGCGTCCGCATGTTTCTGTTGCGGGCCTGCGCCCTCTGGGTCTGGTCCCGGATCTTTTTCCCGAAAGCGTGTTCTGCCAAAGGTCGGGGGCGGCCAGGAGGGTGGTGAAGATTGGGAGGGGGTGGACATCGTGGTGGGGGCCATGATCTCTCCCCAAATGTCACGACGCCTTATCATATTTCAATGCGTCCCCCGGCCTCCCCCCCGGGGCCGCGCACGTGCCGCAAGCCATGATTTGCACCCCCCCCTCTTGGGTACCCCCTCTTGGCCGCCACCGAAGAGAGAGTTCTGCCAACCACCGAACAACAACGGGCACCCCTCCAGTGCCAGGGCTGTTCTCAACCCTCGCACCTCGGAGAGCTGCCCTCGTGTTTTTCTTGCGTGGGTCCTCCGCCCTGGGATCGAGTCGGGCGTGTCCCTCTACAGGAGGACTGTTCAAAAAAAGTATTCAGAAAAAGAATATGGAGACGATTTTTGGGGTTGTTTTTGACCCTTTTGCAATCCTGTTGAACAATGCGTTATTTTTCGTCCAAGCTCCGCCTGTGGGAGGACGTGCTCGACCTATCCCTGGGATGCCTATCGACGGGGGCAGCTCCGTGGGGCCCTGGGCCTCCAGGGACGGGGCCACGTGCTCGCGACCCGCGCTCCCGTGGCCGTGAGTCCGCTGGCACCCTGCCCGGCCCCCCCCCACCCACCCCCCCCCCCCCTCCCCCTCCTCCTCTGCCCCCTCTTTCCCCTCCCCTCCTCCTCCTCCTCCTCCTCTCCTCCTCTCCTCCTCCTCCTCCTGCTCTCCTCCTCTCCTCCTCTTCCCTCCTCCTCCTCCTCCTCCTCCTCCTCCTCCTCCTCCTCCTGCCCCTCCTCCTCCCCATCCCGCTCCCCCTTCTTCTTCTTCCGACACCGATGGGAGCATGAACTGCTGCACTGACGAATGACATGCAAAACGAGGCGGCAGCGGCATCGGCGTCAGCCAGCACGGTGCCTGTCCGCCGCGTAGCGGCCCCACCCGTGACCCTCGAAATAAGGGTCGTAGGGCACATAGAAATCCTGCACCTGTGGCGGGACCTCGGGGACCTGACCGACTTCCAGCAATTCGCAATTACGTACAGTATGAAGGAGTGCCTGGGCAACAATCTTACATAACTGCGAAGGATATTGCTTTGCTGCTGCAGTACGGAGAACGCCATTCCCTCGGACCCCGACGAGCTCTTCGGGATGAGAGGTGTGGGGGCATTTGCCCCTGCCTGGCAACTGAGCAACTAAATCACGAAACGTCGGCACATTAACGCACAACATGGTAGTGGGTTTCTTAGACCGAGCACCACACGTACATTGATCTAAATTCAGAAACCTGATGTCAGCACGAGCTCTAAAACCATACACTGCAACCATCTCAGGGAGGCGCCAGATCGAGGGGAGGTGAGGGGCCTCCGGTTCGAGAGGATGTTCTAAAATACAGGCAGCTCCTACGGCCGCACAAACATACACGACCTGAAGCATAGTCTGCAACAAACGATTGCCGAGCATAACCTGTTTCCATTCAGAAGGCGAGCGGGCCGCCAGGCCCCATAAAAATTCCCTGGACCGCAGGATACGAGGCTTCATACCCCCATTAGGCGGTGGATTCGCACGGCCCTTGGACCAGGTCTCGCATGGGGGCCCTCCAACAGCACCGAGGGCCTGCCCTGTCCACAACATTTCTAATATTTTATCGACCGAGGCTTCTACTGTAAGGTCGCCTCGGTCTGGACTATTGGCAACGTCGATAGATAACATTACCACAGGTACTCTCGCGGCCATCTGAAGCATTTCGAAGTGAGCTTGCACGTCGCCTGCCCGACGTTGGCCGCTGAAAAGATGCAAGAAAAAACGCACTTCTGACGGCGAATTACTGATCACGGCGGGGGCATCATCATTCTGGTCCCGTCCGCGCGCGACGCCGTCAGTCGTGGCTCTGGCAATGTTGGCCTCGACTGGGCCTCCCAGCACAGGTCCAATAAAGGCAACTGGCGGT